TGCTTAAGGAGTTCCATCCACCTTCTCTGACGCATATTAAAATCATTCTGAGTGAATATGTGTTTCAAACTCTTATGATCGGTATAGATATGAAAGGTCTCTCCGTACAAGTAGTGGCGCTAGGTTTTTAAGGCGTGTATGATTGCGACAAGCTCCAAGTCGTGGGTGAGATAATTCTTCTTATGATTCTTTAACTGTCTGGACCCATATGCTATAACATTTCCATGCTGCATCAGGACACAACCCAGGCCTAGATAGGAGACATCACTATAAACTGTATATCCTCCCGATCCACTCGGTAAAGCCAGTACGGGTGCAATAGTCAGCCGCTTCTTTAATTCTGAAAAACTTCTTTCGCAGTCCTCATTCCACTCAACTTTGGCATTCTTCTTTGTGAGTCGGGTTAGAGAAGCTGTTAGGCTGGAGAATCCTTCAACAAACCTGCAGTAATAACCTGCCATCCCTAGGAAACTTCGGATTTCCTTAACTGATGTCAGCTTCTCCCAGCCAAGTACCGCTTCAACCTTTTCGGGATTCATTGATACTCCTTCCTTTGATATGATGTGTCCTAGGAAGGCGGTCTGCTCAAGTCAGAATCAACACTTACTCAACTTTGCATATAACTTCTTGTTTCTGAGGACCTGCAAAACTTGGGTAAGATGGTGAACATGTTCTTCTCTGCTTTTTGAGTAGACTAAGATATCATCGATTAACACGATAACAAATTGATCCAAGAACTCTCTGAAGACTCTGTTCATCAGATCCATAAAGATTGACGGGCCGTTGGTTACCCCAAATGACATGACCAGGAACTCATAGTGTCCGTACCTGGTTCGAAAAGCCGTCTTGGGGATGTCTTCTGTTCTTATCTTCACCTGATGGTAACTTGATCGCAGGTCTATTTTAGAGAAGACTTGTGCACCCTACAGCTGATCGAAGAGGTCATCAATTTTAGGAAGGGGATATTTGTTCTTGACCGTAACATTGTTCAATCATCTGTAATCAATACACAGTCTCAATGTTCCATCTTCCTTCCTTGTAAAAGTGACTCCGGCACCCTAAGGGGACACACTGTATCTAATAAAATCACTGTCTTGCAATTCAGTGATCTGTTTCCTCAGCTCTTCCATCTCAATACGACTCATGTAGTAAGGAGCAACCGAAATGGGTTGGGTGCTTGGCTGTAAGTCTATAGTGAACTCGACTTCCATGTCCACTGACAATCCGAGTAGTTCGTCCGAAAACGCATCTGGAAAGTCTTGGACTACCGGAATCTCTTGGATACAAATTTCTTTCTTGAGCTTGCCTAGTTAGAGAAAATAACAAGATTAATGTACTAAAAAATTAAGAAAACTTGCCATCAAAGAATAAGTACTAAATAATTTTATTAATTTGTAAATAGCTCATCATTGGGAGGATTAAATACAACATTCTTGTTAAAGCAATCTATAGTAGCATGATACACCGCTAGCTAATCTATTCATAAGATTACATCAAAATCCCCCGTGTCTAAACCTATCAGGTCTACACTCAGTTTTCTATTTGCTATCTCCACGACACAAGTCCTGTAAATAACTTTCTCTAATAGTGTTTCACCCCCAGC